CATGCAAAATAGCTGCATGAAGGATTTGCATTATAACGATCGACCTGAACAAGTGGTAATTAGAAGACACCATGTCTGGTGAGTACGCTGGGCGCAGCAAAGCTTCCTATTCGAGCTGTGAAAGTGTATCCTGGACAACTCTTGTAACAAGTGATCAAAAAATGGGATTTTCAGTCAATTCGTATCGCCACTCTAAACCATTGAACCCTTAAACCGTGGAACCGTTGAATCGACAATTGAGATAAGACGAAGCAGCAATACCATAAGCCTCTGAACGTGTATGGTGGACTTCGGCAATAGATTTCTTCAAATAAATGACAGAAGCAATAAATTTGAAAGGTGAAGAATTTTAAGCACTACATGATTTGCGTCGCCATACGCTCAATAAATTAATAATATAAAATGTAAAAGTGTTGTTTTTTGTAGATGAAGGTCGAAACCATCGAATTCAACTGTATTTATCATTCCTTTATTATTTTTTTACTCATAGGAGTCGCTAATCAAAATCTTTGCAAACACTAAATATTAAATAAAATATAGTTAAAGTCGCCAATAACATTTGTAGTAGAATATCTCAAAAATAAATTAAATGTATTCGAAGGGAATAAGATCACGGCGGTTCAAATAAAGTGCACCAATAATAGGTCCAATATCGCCATCAAAAAATTCAATTGAAAGTAATTCGTCGCTGCCAGGTTCACAAGCTTTAAAAATTGTGATTTGCCAGTCACAATATTTTTGAGTTCACCGAACTTTGTAGCTTGCTCATAAGGCCTAATATTCCGACAATTGATATGTGCAGTTCTCAGCTGTTGCGAACATTGTGAACAGGTAAATTAATTAATTACCACTTACAACTGGACCAACATTGTAATGACACGTATATATAATTAGTAAAATTTAACATATTTAAGTAGGTGGCGGGAAACCAAAAGTAAAAACAACAACATTATCAACGTAGTTGCCTAAAACCAAAAAATGAGACCATGTAACACAGAAAAACAAAGTTAATTAAAGAAGAATGAAGGATTAAACTATAACGCCAAAAAAGAAAGTAAAGAAAATATACAAAGTTTAAGATCTGCTTTAACGGCACAAGCGAAAATAAAGCCTCAATAAAGGGCAAAGTCATTGTTCATTGAAAACAAATTTATAAAAACACAAGAGAGTAACCAAATAAGCATAGAAAAGTAACTAAACCGGAGCACCGCTGTTGGCAAGATCGCGCACTCACCTATGATGCAGAAAACTGAATTACATACTTGATCACTTTAGCAGCAGTCATATTTAAAAAGAAAGCACCAACAACACGATGCAGCAGGAAGAACTCAAAAAAGCAGCCACAAACGCAAGCGCAACGAATGGTACCAAAATTTAGGTAAGGAATCCAGTGCCGACGAACCGGCTATATTTTATATTCTTCACCATTCAACATAAGAAAAATCACAAAAATCACCAATAAATAGTAATTATAATCATGTAAATGTGGGTTTATTACACGTTTTTTCAGCCATAACGTTGCCATTTACCCTTTTCTACATGTTTTTTTAGTATGGAGTTTATGAGTTTTTAAAAGATTTCTCCGTGTCTTCTTTCTGCTTTCTGATTTAGCTTTGCTCAGTTATTCAAATCTCTTTCCATATTAGGAATTGGCAATCTATCAGTTTTAGTAAATTAATTAAGTTTCCTGCAATAAAGAGCTTTGAATTTTATTATTTTTAGGGCTACACTTAAGTGACGCTGTAAGAGACGGACGTAGGTGTCATTGCTGACCATTCCATTCCATTCCACAGACACTTCGTGGACGTTTACAACTAAAAGTACACATGGTTTACCCTTATAATAATAAACGGACGAACGAAGCCTATTTACCGAACGGATAGATGTTAAGCCTTGTTCTTACCTATGGTATCCTTGAGCCCAACGATTTTAATGATAGACCTCGAGTTTATGAGTACATTGAATAAATCATTTTAATTTCATTTTGGGTAAATAACGTTCATATTGGGTTACATCCTTTTGCAATATTATATTCAAACTTACTTTTCTCTTCTTTTTCAGGGATACTAATTTCTCAAGTCTTCCAATTATTTTGTTCGACGTCATTTTTTCTATTATTGAAACTAGTAATCCAACATTCTACAGAGTTGTATTTGTAATTAATATTAGAAAATGAAACCAAATGTTACAACGTTATAACCATAATAAGTGTCCTTCGAATCAAAAACAGACGAAATTGTTTACAAATCAATGGGAGGTGTAGCGAATTCGAACCAACAACAGATGAAATTGTGAATTCGAATCAAAAACAGTTGAAATTGTTTACAAATCAATGGGAGGTATACCGAATTCGAATCAAAAACAGATGAAAATAACGGCACTGAATGCACAATATATCTTCGTTAATCGCCCAGTTGTAAACCAGAAAACCATAGCCAACTCCGTTTATTACAGAAATTTTACCAGTCGCTTTTGTCGAACTCGTACGAGTGGGTGTTCCTTCGATGATGGTTTACGATACTCGTTGTATATTTGTTAAATAGATTATTATGGTAAATTCTCTGTATTGTGAAATAGTCGCCTCAAAGCCTTTTTAGGAAAATATGATATCAACTAATTGCTTCGCAGCTCTTAAAAACACCACACTTGCGTATTTATCTACCATTACATTTTTGTTGAGCGAAGGTGATTTGCTCCGGGTGTATTGCAGAATCCTCTCCGAAGTAGCGCGTCCTCAATATCAAGATAATGCTATACCTACGAGCCTTAATGAATTTCAATATGATGATTATAATGTTGACGCTAACGTCGATCCAAATTACCGTCCATATCCTTCGCGCCAGCCTCCTATAAGAAGACCTAACCAAGTTTTTTATGATTCAACTGGGGCTGTAAGTAAATTGTGAAATGAATGCGAGAATACATATATAATGTACAGTAATGCTTTTTTACAGCGCTCCATGACCCCAGTTGCTAGATCCAGTTAAAAGTGAAGAGCGTTTTCAATTCCCTGAATGAAAAAAAGCAAAAGGAAGAATTTTTCTTCTCGGTATATCCTCAAGTTCAGCCCTTTTAGCAGAAACACTCTTCCTCTTGTTGCGTTTTTTTATTTTAAACTTTTCTCGTAATAATGTAATAATGATATTTTTGTTGGTGTAATTGGTTAATTGTAATAATGAACTGAACAGTAATAATTGTTGCATCGAAAATATATGTATGAAGAATAAAACAAAACGCGAAAATAATCGATGTTCGACTAGTCCACGGAGAGAAAAAGCCAACTTCGCGAAAGATCGATTCATTCATTTCAATGCAATATAAGAACCAACAAACGTTGCAAAAAATATGATCTGTTCCCTTATTATTGAAATAGTGCGCGAGCACTACTAATACTTGCAGATTATGGAATTTATTAAATCACAAGACACATCACGAAAAATAAATATATTAAATATGTTCATGCTTGAATTTTCACAATATTTGACGACCCGAAATTGTGTGAGCAAGAGGAAGAATTGAATTTTCACAATATTTCACGACCCGAAAAATTGTATTCAACTGTCAAGTAAGAAAGCGATATTCTTCTAACAAGACCACGTAAGAGTTTTTATTATTAAATTGAAAATTTTTATGTATTATGTAATTATTATATTTTAAATAAATATTTATAGTATTAAAACAGAGCAAAAAAGTACAAAAAATGTTGAAATTCGAAGTCGTAATAAGGTTTGCGGGGCAAACTTGTCGACGCCTACAACGCCCGCATGCCTATGCGAGAAACTTCATGTTACAGGGCATGAAACTTTAGTTGGTTTACTTCATGGGAAGCTTTTCTGGTAATAAGAACATATGACATTTTGCTTACATTGATTTACAACAGGTTTTTCAACAGCTTAGATATTTTCGGGTTACCGGTACATCTTTGCAATTTCCACGTTTAAAATCCTTGATAGTTGTCATTTCTGTGGGTTGTCTACTTTGCGCCATTCCATTTCTACTTTGCTTATCATTTTTGTTGGAAGGTACGCAAGCATAAATAAATCATTCTTATGCTGAGATCAGACAGATGTATTCGTTTTCTTGTTTTCGGATATTCTCTGTGGCATACATTGGCTTGCTATCATATCATTACAATGATTAACATGAATAGTGCAGTTTGGTGTATAAATTCGAGAGCTATTAAAACGGCCTCTTACTCGATGGCGTTGTGTTTTCGCAAGGTAAAGGCTATAGAATGAAGGTGTTTTCACTTATTCTCTTAAACCTAATTAAAAATGATTCATTCGCCTTAAGAAATAATGTTAGAAATTTATTAGCTATGACTTCTTTGATGTCGAAAAGCATTTGAAGCTTCTTCTAAAAGCTTAATTGGACGGGTGAGGTGCGTTTTACGAAACAGCCAGGGGACGGAGTTCATTTGCGCATTTATTATTGATAATATATTAAAATTTTTATAGGAAAAATTATATTATTATATAGTCTCCGATATTGGTTAAATATAAAGGGAAAAGCGAACACTTTATTATATAGTCACGACACAGTATTTCGGTAGAACTTACGATAACTCTTTATAGTACCCAATTCAAAATTTTAATCATTAATTATTTCCTAGATTAAATTCTTCGTCCGAAGAAAGCGGGTTGCGCGAGAAACGTTTACTATCCCGTCTTACCTTAGTTGGTTTCTTACCATTGCTTGACTTTCCTGGCACTATCTTGTGCAATCGGTTATATTAAACGGGATACTATACCATAATCGATATCCAGATGGCGGTTTTTCCAGTTTGTTGCGTTCTATGTGTTCTTTCTAATAATCACTTTGTCGTGCCAATCATCTCATTTACAATAAAATTACAGTATAGTCAAATGGTGTGCGTTTATTTTTAGTTATCAATTATACCACTGGCTTTAATAGGTCTGCAAAGCTTTCTTGGGAAAAATATATGAAAGATTTGGTAGGCATGATTACGCATATTTAACAATAATTTTAAAGGTTAATTAGTGAATGTTCGTTAAATGAAATCGCTATTTACCTCTTTGATTAAGTGGTGCATTTGTCTAATTGCTATTTTGCGACCTTTACATGAACGATCGCCAATGGCAACCGGTAGAGTTCCACGGGCTTGTAACACCGCCTACAGTTAACTCTCGTTGAATATCCATCCTTCTGGCCAAAGGATCAGGAAAGTGCTTTGAATCGCGATCAGCTGTGTAGAGCGACAGTAAGACCAGTGACTAGGGAAAAATTACAAAAATCTCGAAGTCACAAATACAAAGTGGAAACAGATAATTTGAAATACTTACTTTTTTCTTAATGTGATAGCCACCAATTAAAACATCACGGGGCATATATCGACCTATAAATGGTGCCACAGGATATAAACGCAAAGTTTCCTTAATAAAACCATGAACTAATGGCAAACTGTAATTATCTAAAGCATAATAAATACAAAGCCCACACGCTGGAAAAAGCAATCTGAATGTAATGGAGAGCTATTTGATGTTCGACGTAGTAAATGGGAGCCCATATCTTCAATGTTGTCAGCTAAACATGGCCATTCATTGGTGTTGTGATCCAGTGGCCGCTTTAATTTAATCAATGTAATTGTAGGTCTACCTACGTGCACTTGTATTTAAAGCTGCTATCTAATAAATTTTAGGACAACCTTGCAGTGCCACTACAAGAAAAATGGAGACCTATGAGTCTTGCGTACCTGCTGTAGCTGAGCTAGATTGTTTTTGAGATGTGAGAGCGGTTCTATATATTCGCTCACGGAAACTACTAGGACGGTTACAACCAAAAGAAATTGCGCGCACTTAGCCCTTATCGAATATGCGGACTGAGAAAACCCTAACCTGTCGACCGGGGATCATATGTACCTAGAGCCTTTCAATATCCACCATGCGTGTTGGTCTCCTGTCGGCCACAAAAAGTTTGTGGGAGACCTCGATGTGGGGTCCAAAATCCCCTTTCAATCCATTTTCTTTCCATAGTAATAAAAGAACTTAGCACATTTTTAGGGGTAAAAATCTATGCTATAAAGTACTTTAAATAAAAAAATGTACTTGAAGCAATCAAAAATAAATTCTAGAATCCTATGTGCTTCTAGCACACGTCACTACAAACATACGCCGAAAGCAGCACAAACACAAAAATAAAGTTAATTTTGTATAGGTAATTGAAATATGCGACTCAAATTGAACATAATTTTTGATAATTGTAGAACAGCTAAATGTCATTTGTTGGTCTTTTACCTTTCAATATCGCATACAGCAACAGAAATGAAAAAAAATTTCTTTCGGTTTTCAAGAATTAGTTTATTTATGTTTTATTTCGCTTTGCTTAAACTGAATTCATACTTATTTGCTTACGAATTAATTATTAAAAAAATTCATTTTCCTTTTTCTTATTTGGACGTTATACAATTTTTTTTGTTTTGCTTTTGATTCACGGTAGAAGAATTGTTTTTTTTAATCCCTTTATTTTTCTATTTCTATTTTAAATACGTGTAGTTATGGATTAGCACACGATGACGTAGAAAATGTAACATTATTTTATTTATTTATTTATTTATTTATTATTATTATTATTATTATTATTATTATAATTTTAGACTAATGAAATAAATTCTTAGACTAAAAGAAAAAGACATTGAGCACTAGCAGCACAGGCTATCGGCTGTAATATAAATAAATGTACATTAGATAATTAGCTTAGTAGTATTAATAAAGTAATATATAGAATTTATATTCGGTTCTAAAGCTGGGTGGTTGAGAAGAACCTGTCCTGTATCATCTACCACGGCACAAGCAGGAGGCAGGCCAAAAGATTTTGAGCCGTCTGTGTATAAAAGATTCCAACCAGTACTCTCCAATACTTAGGTTTTTTCAGCTAATAGATTCCTGAAGACGTAATTTGGAGTATCTTCTTTTTTGTGCATAGACAACGAGATGTCAAAAGAGCAGTCTTCCAAAATCCATGGAGGTTTAACACCAAAAGAGTGGAAAATTTTTAAGGGAATATTTAATTCCTTTGCGACGTACAAACAACAGTCAATTGCAGATGGTGACTTTGAAATTTTCTTCGCAATAATAATCTTTCTCACGTCATCACCGAGAATAGATTTGTTTGAATTAAGAAGCTTGGAGACTATTTTAGCTTTTAACTCATACCGTCTATTTTCTAAAGTTGGGAGACCAGTTTCAATTATAATATTATTTATGGGCGTCGGCCGAAAAGCATAACAACTTGCTCTGACTGCTTGGTGATAGACCGGTTTAAGGATGTTCATATTAGATTTGCAGCTATTGCCATAAATTATCAAAGCATAGTCAATCTTGCTTAACACAAGCATTTTGGTAAGATAAGCAATAGTGTTAATATGCGCATGGCTTCTCCAAGCAACGTACTGTATGAAATTCACCCTTGTTAAAATAGAATTTTTTAACCGAACACAGTGTGCCTTTCAACGATGCTTGTTGGAAAAAGTGAGCCCGAGAATATGCAGCGTCTGCACGTTTAGTACTGGTAAGTCGTTAATATGCATCAGTAGATTTCCTGCATCGCAATTCTGCTTTCGGCAAATGTGTATTTTTTTAGGTTTTTATATGGAAATTTTAGCCCCTGACGAGTTTCCCCATGCGGAGATCTCTCGTCCAATAGATTCGAGGATGTTGGTTGCTTTCGTGTAGTCTTCAGTCAATATTCCACTCTTGGTACACGGCAAAGAATTTTGCTAATTTCGTTGAAGGCGATCTGGAAAAGCGTGACAGAGAGAGGAGATCCTTGCGGAATGCCATTCATTAGCAGAAAGGAATCAGAAAGCTGATTGTTGATTCTAACTTTAAACCGACGACGCGACATGAATGATTTGATATAGTTGAAGAATTTCTGTCCAACATTCCATGATTTCAAGAGTCTTAAAATAACATGAAGACCAACTCTGTCAAATGCTTTTTCGAAATCAATTGAGAGAATTATTACGTGATTTCGTTCGGAAATTGCTTTGCTTGTGAAATAATCAATATGTAACAGAGCGCCGATGCACCCTCTACCCCGCTTAAAACCAACTTGTTGCTTTGTTATCAGGTTCTTGGACTCGAAAAACCAAGATAATCTAGATGCCATAATCTTTTCCAATACCTTTGAGAGGCAAGATAAAAGAAAGATTGGGCGATAATCCGATGCGATGCAGACATTTTTATACTTTGGAATTGGAACAACTGCTGCCAGTTTCCACATGTAGGGTATATGTCAAAAAAAACATATTATATAGGTCCAGCAATTTCTTTTTACTTGAATTAGACAGCGCACTGATCATTTGGTAGGAGATGCGGTCTAGACCAGGTGTCTTCCCCTTCGATTTGGAGAGACAACTTTCAAGTTCTAAGGTAAATATGCAATTTTACAAGAAGGTGGCACATCTGTCAATACAATTTGAAAGAGTAATTGGAGTCCTTTTGCAGATGGCAGAAATTTCGTTCAGGTTTGAAGTCCCATTGAGTCTGTTGATTTTGTTCCAGACAACTTTCATTGATGTATATCTGTGAATTCCTCTCGAAAAAAGTTCGAAACTAAATGCCTTTGATTTTCGCAATTCCTTCCTGGATAGAGCATTGGCCTTTTTGTATAATAACAAATGATCATGATCAGGACATCTCTTAAAGCGGTGCCATAGATCCATTTTATTTTTCCTCAAAAACGAAAGCGCGTTGTTCCACCAAGGAACCATAGCTCGTTTAAAAGAGCCGTTGGATTGAGGAATAGAAAGATGAGCAGCCGTGCGAATGGCTTTAGTCATAATAGCAGCATCATGGTTGCAGTTCCCGTTAAATGGCTTTGAATTCAAAAATGACTCAGCCTGTTTGGAGTAATTGATCCAATCCGCTTTATCTAGGAGGAATTTGGCTTGTTTTACTGGAGTAACAGGGGACATTGAAAGTTTAAGATCGATTGTGATTAGAAAGTGATCTCTATTATGTAGATCATCAGAAATAGACCAGGAAACCAAAGGAAGAAGTGAGGGAGAGCAACATGTTAAATCAAAAAAGGCCTTTTCTAAAACAGTACCGCGAGTGTTGTTCACTGATGAGCCCCAGATGGTATTCCAGCTGTTGAAATCGCCGCATGTAATTAATGGGGGGAAAGTACGGAGAATAAATTGTAGAGTTCTTGCTGAGAAAACGATTGCGAAGGTGGAATATAGAGCGAAAGCACTGTAAATTTTATATTTAACATTATTTGTATCGCTACGGCTTGTATATTTGAGCTTAAATTTATGCGTTTGTGAGGTATACTTGATTTTATAAAAACACCTACTCCTTGTTTGGAATATGAATTTTGATCAGCATTCGTGAAGTATCCAGTATATGATTTGGGTGGAATGGGATTAAAAGAGCTTCTACAATGGATCTCTTGAAGCTCTTTTGGTGTTAAACCTCCCAGCATTCTAATGAGTCTATATTAAATATAGTATGTGTGTAATACATTGAATTTCGGGTATCGATGATTATGTTTATAACGGCATTTATATCGCAATACTATATTTGCTTAAAATTGAACAAAGTCATTTCATTAACAAACAAATAATGGCCGAAATTCGTTAAGTAAAACTTACGATAGATGGAAACATCGGTACTGTTTTTTTAATACAATATAGTAACTTGTAATGAATATTGGTGGCAGTGTGGAGAAATTGTAGGAAGATTCCCTACGAATCTTTTTTCACGGATTACTTTGGAAATGGTGTAGAATAAGTTTCTAAACTGCTTGGCTGTTTCCGCCAAGACTGTCAACTTCTTTTATTTCCAATACAAGATCGGCTAGAAGTTGTCCCTAGCTAAATAATTTAGGCGGATGGAATGCCCTTTTTTACGCAACGAATGAATCGCTTTGTTTAATTGATAATTCACAACAATTATCTTTACTTCATTTTACTACGGCTATTTATACTTAAATATCTTATCGTTAGCGCAAGCATAAAAAATTATGACCGATTAATTTAATTAGGGCGCCTAGAGTCGTATTGCATTACGAAACGCAATTTTCAGCTAGTTGAAGTGTGAATATAATTCTTATTTTTCTTTTTGCAAATGAATTATGCTAATTTTGCATAATTCTGTCACACTTCAAAGTGGATAGATATTAACCACGATATGCGATCACACTACAATCTCTTTCTAAGTGTTATTTTCAGAGCATCTTTAATTTTCAATGTAGGTCAAATTTCAAGTTTCTTTTACTTTCAAAATCCCGATAACCTTTTCTTCACTCAATATCATATAAAGAATTTGTTTTACGTCGAGTTTTTGAAGACAAAGCAATAAAAGGTTACTTTAGAATTTTCATTACGGTTTAAATAACTTAAATCAAATTGATTCGTTTCATTGAATGCAGTATGTTGAATACCTTGAAT